GGCGGGAGCCACCTCTTGAGGTCGTAGGAGCCACCTCTAGAATCTCACACGGATGGTACGGTCTTGGATGATATGGATTGGCACAACGAGGACGTTTTGAGTTTAAGTGGGGGAGTATGTAATACCCCAACCCTTGAGAGGGTTATGTGATTAGTATTGATAGATTTGATTGGAATACTCATACCACCAAGATGCATCTTCTTTTCGGGAACCCAACTCTTAGAAACTCCAAAGTTAAGCGTGCTTGGCCTGGAGAAATTCTAGGATGGGTAACCCCCTGGGAAGTTTTCTAGGGAGCACGTGAGTGAGGACAAAACGTGCTGAAAAGACATGTGGTGGTTTGTGAGGCCAGTCCATCAGATCTAATAGCGTACCGACTCCGGGATTCCGGGGCGGGGCGTTACATAAACCACATAAAATCTTTGTGTTTACTTTTGTCGATCCTTTTCTGCATTTTGTTGTTTGTTCCGCGATTTTGATTTCCTCTAATTTCTGCTATATCCGCAACACTCTCCACATTATTACTTCTTAAATTATCTTTCAAATTTTATACTGTTTTTAGAAGTGTGCCAAAGCCACAACTTATGCCTTGCATTCCCCCGTAAGCGTTGCCTTCTCTTTATTGCTGCATCATGAAAGAAAGGCGGATGAGATTTTAGTGCATCAAATTTTTCCCTCGCTCCCTAATTTTTCTCTCTCAAAACCACATGGACTCCCCGAGGCTCCTTTTTGTGACAACAACCAAAGAAAAAAAGAGCCCTGAACTTCAGTCATGGACAAGGGGCCTCCACCAAGTACTTTGTATGCAAGGAGGAGATGATGACGGAAGCTACGCCAAGAACTCCGAAGCCCCCGCCTCCGCCATTGCCCTGTCAAAGCCGCTCCTCATCGAGGCTATCACCTCAATGAAGCTCTTCGACAAAGAATCCTCAATAAGAATTGCTGATCTAGGATGTGCAACAGGCCACAACACCCTATCCACTGTTGAACTCCTCGTTCATAGCCTGAAGGAAAGATACAAGAAAGAAAAAGACTATATGCCAGAGTTTGAGGTCTTCTTCTCTGATCTACCATCCAACGATTTCAACTCTCTTTTTCGCTCGTTGCTTTCATCATGTGATGCATCCAAGATGCCTTACTACTTCTCTGGCGTCCCTGGGTCATTCTACGATCGCTTGTTTCCAAATGGGAAGCTTCATCTAGCGGTTAGCTTGAGTGCATTGCATTGGCTCTCACGGGTGAGTTCTTGGAATTAATTATATATGATGCTACAAAAATCAACAAATTGCGTTGTCGATTATGTTTATGCTTTCTATCTCTGTAATATAGTTATTTTCATATAATATACTCTCCGGTGAGTCCTTTTAAGTCACTTGTATGTCAATAAACCTCATACAATTGATATAATGGTATTTCATCTCTGTTAATATCAGTTATTTTTTTGACTATGGATAAATCTCAGGCTCAGACCTTTCTTCAAAAGAAACAATATCATTTATGCTTCGAATTGATAGGTTCCAGAGGAAGTGTTAGACAAGAAATTGCCCGCCTGGAACAACGGAAGGGCATGGATAGATGGAGCAAAGAAAGAAGTGGTGGATGCCTACGCGAAGCAATCGTCTGAGGATTTACTGGCTTTCTTGAATTGTCGAAAGAAGGAAATCGTCGAGGGTGGAATGTTGTTTTTATTGATGGCGGGAAGACCAGATTCTCAACGACCGGAGAACCAGTTAGGGGATCCTGATTCAAGGGCCAAGCATCCGTTCACAAGCTCCATGGATCAAGCTTGGAAAGATTTGCTAGATGAGGTAGGAGTATTTATGTGTTAGGTTTGTGCTTCTCATCTGCTTAAAAAATACCTAAGAGTTAGAAGTTAATGAGATTTTGTCACCTATAAAGTGGTCTCAGTCTATTGTTGTTACTACATCATGGTTATGTCATATGTCATTGTGTACAAGTATGTTCTTGACTAATAGCATTTAAAGGCATCTAACTTGGATACCAAACTTCATCCTCCCACATTAAAACCAGTGTGGTACCATTTTTTGGCGACTTTTCTACTGCCCTTCTTGTCTACATTCATATTTCATTAATTATCACAGCACTCCTTTTGAGTCAGTACGTGATGTCAGTATGAAGGATGTTGCAATTGACCTCATAAGTAACTTTTCAATATTTCTACATTATCAAATTTACTCATTATATGTAAATAGAATAAGATAGACTACTATTGTTCCATCCCTCTTGAATTTTTTTGAGAGCATCCGATGTGACAATCTTTTTCTTCTCGATAATTTGTGAATGTCATTGTTTCTAATTTTTGTTGTCTTTTCTTTTTATCCGCCAACATGCTTTTACTGTTCCTTGTGATATTTTAATAAGTTCTTAGTAAATAGAAAATGAGGGTATAATAGTTGCCTACTATGTTCTGTCTAGAGAGTATGGTTATATGCGAATTTGTCAGGGATTGATCGATGAGGAGATGAGAGACACATTCAACATCCCGGCATACATGAGGAGCACAGAAGAGGTCAGGAGGGCATTCGATCATTGTGGTGCATTTGAAATCAAACGGCTGGAGTTTCTTAGGATCGTCGAACACTCGAAGGAGAAACAAGCGGAGTGGATCAAAGACCCAGTTTCATATGGTCGAGCTAAGGCTAATCTGGTTCGAGCCACTTTGAAACCTATTGTCAAGGCTCACCTTGGATCATTGCTTTCCGAGGTTTTATTCAAGCGATTTGAGAAGAGAGTCTCTCAAGACATAAGCATGCTTGAAAAGACTTGTTTCTATGGCCTGATTGTTGTGTGTGCAATTAGGAAGTGAATTCTTCTATTATAGATTACCCTTTCTTTTTTCTCTAGGTAAGTTGTTTGCCTATAAAATTAATTCTAGAAAATGTATCAATCAAAAAGGCAGTGAAATCTTTTGTCTACGTATGTTTTTCACAGGATTAATCTAGAACTACAATCAGAATGCAACTATCACTTATTATAATGCTCCTTGGGCAACATGCCACTGTTCCTTCAATTTAAGTAGCTAGCTTGGACAGATAGTGACCACTCAAAAGATACGGAAGCTATTTATTGTGTAAATTGAAGGAATTCATCCTCTGATAGAGAATCTAAGGAGAAAAAAAGTAAATAAAGGGGATCTATTCCCATAAAGCATAAAACAAGTATCAAGTACCATGTCCAGCAGTATGCATGCGAAACATAGATTTATTCTGTTACATTACCTTTTTCTTTCACAGTTCCTCAATAACTTTTCTTCTCGGAGTTCAAAACAACAACATTGACGGTTCTCTTGATGCATGTTAGCATGCGATCTCGATCTAGCTAACGTGCGCCCCCGCCGTGTTTTGAAATGGCTAAGAAGAAGAGGAATAATGGGAAGAAACTCTTTAATATTGGATTAAGAGCATCCAATTCGGGATTGATTTCTCCTATAGATCAATCTGATACTGGTTTTATGAAAGATGATGAAGATTTTAATTTGGAGGTGGAGGTTATAGGGTCAACGGGACCCAAAGGAGAGAAAAAGAAGAAGTTGATGGTGGATATTTTGAGCTTGGCTGCTCCTCAAGTTCAAATCTATCCTCAGAAATCTGGAGTTCAAATGAGAATTATCAATAAAGCTCCGTTCTCCCAATCTGGTGCTGTTTGCTCTCCTAGGATTTCTTGGGCGGATGAGGTTGATTTGGATGTGGATTCATCTCCTCACCATCGGACTTCAAATTTGGTAAGGAATATTGGATCTAAGGGCTCTAACTTAGTTCTTGATTCTGTTGTTGTTTTTTCAAATCCTGTTGAGAGGAATGATGATGATAATAAGTCTGGAATTTTGAGATCTAAATCTATTGTTGATGGTTTTTGTTCTGGAAATTCAAGATCTGCAAGTATTCTAGGCTCGAACCCTTTGTTTTATGAGCCTGTATTGGATTTTTTTACTATTCCATTGCAATCTAAGATGAGAAATCCTAATCCATTGCAATCTGAAGGGAGGAATCCTAATGCGATAGGATCCGATGACTTGGTAAATCAAATAATCTTAACTCTGGTAAAATCAATAATGAGAATTCAAATTTCCATCTTTTAAAGTCTGTGAATAATTTGTCCATCCTTGTTCTTGTAAACAATGCTAACAAGAAATGGACAAGTTTCTTTGCTGACAATAGAAAACCTGGTAGTGGTTTGAAATTGAGTTATGTGACACCAGTTGATAAGGATGCTATGATATTTGAAAATGAAGAATGGAATAAAGGTGCTTCATTTTGCCAATTTTCACTTATAGGTCAGGTTGTGGGGGCTTAATGTCAAATACAAGACCATGGAAACTTTTGTTCATAAGGTGTGGGATCAATTGACAAGTTCAGAACTTTGTCCTCTTAAGGCTGGTGTATACTTGCAAGTTTAAAAATATGGAAGAAATGAGTGGTATTCTTGAAAATGGTCCCTAGTTTTTTGGGTGAATACCTTTTCTTCTAAATCCCTAGACTATTGATGAGGAATTTGATAGAATAAAAGATAGCATCCATCCTATGTGGATCCAATTACCTGGCTTGAAACTAAATTTGTGAAATGCTAGGAGTATTAGCAAAATTATAAGTATCATTGGTCGGCCAATTACCACTAACAAGCTTACTGCTAATAGACAGATATTAGCCTATGCTAGAGTTCTTGTTGAAGTGCAAATTCCTTCACCTCTTCCAGATCAAATCTCAATCTAGGGACCAAATGGTAAAAGCTTCTCTCAGAAAGTTAACTATGAATTAAAGCCAAGATGGTGTGAACATTACAAGGTGGTGGGTCATGACTCAAATTATTGCAAGAGACAACCTAGAGTCCAAAAATTGATTCCAAAACAAAAACAAAATGGTATTGCTCATATTGTTTGTAAAGGAAGAGGCTCAGGTAACCAGGAAGATGCTCAGGTTGATTTCAATGTGGTCAATGATAGGCCTATCACTTCAATTGAGATACCTAGACTGATCATAAATCCAGGAAATCAAAGGAATAATGTTCAAGCTATGCATGTTGTGCACAATCAGGTACCTAAATCTGTGGCTCAGTCAGGACATGTTGTGAACAATCAGGAGCCTGCTTCTGAGGCTAACCAATTTAAGGGAATTTTTATTACTGGTGAATGCAGCAAAAAATCTGGGCCTGAGTCTGTGCATATGGTGTATGTCCAGAATCCTAAAACTGTATCTGGTCACTCCCCTAGCTCATCTCATGTGAATAGGTCTTGGTTACTTGTTCAAAACAAAGGATCGAAGAAGCATATCAATTCTAATAACTCAATCTTTAAGAAACACTACGCTCCCTGCAACTAGCGGAATAAGTCATCAATCTCGGTAGTGGTTACCTATTCTGGATGGTGTCCTTATTCAACTCACAATAGTCAATGCACAAACAAAGGCTACCGTCTTTTTTCTTCAAGAAAAGGATTGGTGCTCCCCACAGAGAATAACTCTAGCGAATAAAACCTTGCGAAATGAGCTCCTCCAACTTAGTTTGTAGCTTCCTCATCTCAGTAGGTGCCATACGATAAGGTGCACAGGATATCGATGTTGTGCTCAGCTGCAACTCGATGCAGAATTTAACCTCTCTCACTAGAGGTATCTAGGTATGTCCTGAAGGATGTTCGGATACTCTGAGACTACTCTGTTCTCACTCATATCTACACCTTAATCCCACGAAAATACACCCTCGACATTTACCAAAAATGACTCTGCAAACTGGTTGTTTAGCTCTGTATAGTTGCTACAATCAACTCAAACCCATCAAATGCTCGCAAACTGACTTTTTTGGCAAAATAGTCGATACTAACATGGTAGGACGATAATCAATCCATACCAAGGATGACATCCAACTAGGACATGCACAAGATGATCAAATCGACTATGAAGTTAGACTCGTCTAAGCTGACGACACATGTGATGCCCCAGGGTTCACACAAGGCTGTAGTCCAAGGTAAAACCCGGATTGTCAAACCTGCCAACGACCAAAAACCATGCTACGATATGATTCACCATCACAGTCACTATCTCTCTAGTGAAATTAATAAATAGGTGCAGGTACAAAACAGGAAAATAATAGGAGTAGTACAAAATAAGATATGCACAGAAAAAATATAAGAATAATCAATAAATGAGCACAACTGAAATAGAATGAAAATATCTCTGAGTCTAAAATAAATTTCAACACAATGAGTCAAATAAAATCTCACTAAGGTACTTATCCTTAACAAAATGAAACACAGGTCTAGAGTCTGACAATGACAAACTAAATGTGGAGTCCTAAAATAAGTACAAATACAATAATATCTAGGTTGAATCTAAGGTGCAATCTCATCAACCTGCGACTCTTCGTGCGTCGAACTCGCTGCCTGAAGGGGGGAAACAACGAGCGTCAAAGAACTAGCAAGATCATCTTCATCGCTCCCAAGGACAAGGGGTAGGAGTATATAAGAAAATAGAGTTAGTACATATAAGTATACAATTATTCATATAACTCTAAATGGAGATTGGTATTTAGAAATGCACAACACGAGAATTAGTACATCGAGCGAAATAATCCAAATAAGGAAACCCTCATGTATATACCATGTCTCAAATTGTGAATCCCTAAATATCAATTCCAACTTTATGAATGAAAACAATACTCAAAAGAAAATTAATACAGGTGTATCTTCTCTTTGGAAAAGAGATCCTCATGGGAGCTTGAGGATAGGTGATTCTCATGATATCTTTAGAATAGTGGTGTGAAGCAACACGGCGGAGCACAGGATGGAGTGTGAAGCAAGTCGGAAGAACGAAGAATCAAAGATTTTAGTTCTCAGCCTGATGAGTCGACTGACGAGTTTATGAGTCGACTTACGGTTGTTGAGTCGACTGACGGGTTGATGAGTCGACTCAAGAAAACACCTCCAAATAGCAAAATGCTTCTGCTGAGTCGACTCATGAAAATCATGAGTCGACTCATGCAGACCAGCACAGTTTGTGCACATTTTGAATCAAACATGAGTCGACTGGTGATCATGAGTCGACTCATCTCAATCATGAGTCGACTCATCGAGGTTTCCTGGGCAGACTTGGTTTCTGTTTTGAAGGAATTCTAGTTGGGTTGGGTTTTGGTTATTTACCAGATTGCCACCATATTGTAAACCCTATAAATAAGGATTGTTTAAGGTTCTAATCAGGGAGGTTAGAGACTAGATGTAGTCCTAAAGAGTTTTAGGTCTAAGGAGATCCTAGTCAAAAGGATTAGGGTTTAGATTGTGAGGGTCTAAGGAGATCCTAGTCAAAAGGATTAGGGTTTAGATTGTGAGGATCTATGAGATCTTAGATCAGAGGTAATTAAGAGAGATTGGTCAAAAGGATTAGGGTTTAGATTGTGAGGATCTATGAGATCTTAGATCAGAGGTAATTAAGAGAGATTCTAATCATTATATTAGAGTTTAGAGAGGATTGAGAGGTTGTTCTCGATTCTAGAGAGATTATGAGGGAGAGATTTGTAATAATTGATTCTTCATAATCTAGAGAAGGTATTTTTCTTCGCCATACTGAATTGTTCTTGTGTTTTAGTTATCTTCTTCTCAACCCACCTTTTGGTAATTCCGTGACCAAAGGGTGCTCGCACGACAACTCGTATCAAGTTGGTATCAAAGCATCAGATCCGGTGAAGGGGCATCCTGTGTATGGTCCTGACTCGATCGCAATACAAGAAGCTTGGCGTGATCATTTTCTTTGAAAGGAGTTTAGAGATTAAGGAAGAAGATGACTCAAGTCAACAAAGATGAAGGGGCTCGAGAGTTTTCTCAGCTGAAGTTCTAACTTGAATGGGACTTCAAGTTTCTAAAGAGGGACCCATGATACGGGTGTATCTTCTCTTCGGAAAAGAGATCCTCATGGGAGCTTGAGGATAGGTGATTCTCATGATATCTTGAGAATAATGGTGTGAAGCGACACGACGGAGCACAGGATGGAGCGTGAAGCGAGTCGGAAGAATGAAGAATTAACGATTTCAGTTCTCAGCCTGATGAGCCGACTAACAGGTTTATGAGTCGACTGACGGTTGATGATTCGACTGACGGGTTGATGAGTCGACTCAAGAAAATGCCTCTAGATAGCAAAATGCTTCTGCTGAGTCGACTCATGAAGTCGACTCATGCAGACCAGCACAGTTTGTGCACATTTTGAGTCGACCATGAGTCGACTGGTGATCATGAGTCGACTCATCTCAGTCATGAGTCGACTCATCAAGGTTTCCTAGGCAGACTTGGTTTTTGTTTTGAAGAAATTCTAGCTGGGTTGGGTTTTGGTTATTTACCAGATTGCCACCACGTTGTAACCCTATAAATAAGGATTGTTTAGGGTTCTAATCAGGGAGGTTAGAGACCAGATGTAGTCCTAAAGAGTTTTAGGTCTAAGGAGATCCTAGTCAAAAGGATTAGGGTTTAGATTGTGAGGATCTATGAGATCTTAGATCAGAGGTAATTAAGAGAGATTTTAATCACTGTATTAGGGTTTAAAGAGGATTAAGAGGTTATTCTCGATTCTAGTGAGATTATGAGGGAGATATTTGTAATAATTGATTCTTCATAATGTAGAGAAGATATTTTAATGCGGTATAATTATGTACCAAAATTACAAGTGCACAATTGATCAAGTTATAGTATAAAAAGTTATCGATACCACGAGGAAGGTGATTTTAAGATATTATTAGACTTGGTTCTTA